GCCCGCGTCTCCCGCGAGCGGCGCCCGAGTCCGCTGGGGAGAGGGCCGCTGGAGCGCAGCAGGGGCGCCCTGCGTCGGCACGCTGCGCGAAAATACCACGTGACAACACGACGCAGAACAGGAGAAGCCACGCGCAAACGCCACGGTCGCCCGCGTCTCCCGCGGGCGGCGCCCGAGTCCGCAGGGGGCGGGCCGCTGGGGCGCCGCAGGAGCGCGTCGGCATCGGCACGCCATTCAAAAACACTCAGTAAAAAACACTTTACGCAGAACATAATAATCTCCCGCGGGAACGCCGCCGGGAGCGCCGAGGGAGCGCCGCGGGAGCGCCCTGGGAGTGCATTTACATGGTGTTGTTTTTGCATTGGTATCGCTTCGCTCATTCCGCCGGCCCGTGTTGTGCCATCGCAGGCGTTTGCCTGGGCGTTCGTGGCCTCCTGGGGCCTCTTGGGGGGCGTTTGGGGGCCCTCTTGGGACCTTTTGGGGGGCCTCTCGGGGGCCTCGTGGGGCCTCCAGGGGGCCTGCTGGGCTCTCTTGGGGGCCTCTCCTGGGGCGGAAGGCTTGAAAAGGTGGGTTGGTTCGTGTACCCCTCTCGGGCCCCTCTTGGGCGATCTTGGGCGCCTCTGGGGCCGTTTTGGGGGCCCTCTTGGCCCCGTCTTGGGGCCCTGTTGGGGGCCTCTCGGGCCGTCTTTGGGCGGTCTTGGGGGCCTCTCGGGCCATCTTGGAGCATCGGAAGCCCAACAACGCGAGAGCGCTTCTCTTGGAGCGCTCTTGGGGCTTCTTTGGGGTCTTTTGGGCCGACTTGGGGCCATCCTGGACGTCTTGGGGCGATCTTGTCGTGTCCCAGAGGCCTCTTGGAACATGTAGAGGGCCTCTTGGGAGCCTCTGGGCCGCTCTTGGGGCTCTTGGGAGGCTCTGAGTACGGCGCCCAGGAGCAGCACCATCTCTGATCGGACCTTGCCGGGGACTTGCCCGGGGTATTTTTCGGCCGCGGATCCCCAGGGGCCGCCCTGCGCGCACGAACTAGAAATATTGTTGACCAGTTACCGGAGATTTTAGCGCGCCTCTTGCCCGTTGGGCAGGCGAATTGTTTTTAAAGATGCCCTCCTCGGGCTGCTAGGTCTTGTCCCTTATTGTTTTGACAAGACCTTCGTCGGGTTGCTTGGCTTATTTCCTTACTGCATTCCTCGTGCTGCTTGGTAGCGTTCCTTAGCAAGACTAAGCAACGCCAAGCAACGCCAGGTAACGCCAAGCAATGGCAACGAATGCCAAGCAATGCCAATCAGTGCCATGCAATGCGAAACAGTGCAACGTCAAGCAATATCAAGCAATGCCGAGCAACGCCAATCAGTACGATGTAAAGAAAGCAACACCGAGCAACGCCAAGCAATGCCAACCAACGCCAAGCAAGCAGTGCCAAGCAACGCCACGCAACGCCAAGCAACGCCAAGCAATGCCACGCAATGCCAAGCAGTGCGAAGCAATGCAAAACAGTGCAACCTAAAGCAATGCCAAGCAACACCAAGCAATGCCAAGGAGGGCCAAGCAATGCCGCTTGAGAAGCGTTCCTCTAATTGCGATCGCGCCGGCTTCGTTTACAAAGGATCGTGGCCCGCGCAGCGCGGATCAATGGTGCTCGTACGTGTCCCGGGGCACCCAGACATTCATAGAGCACGGCTCGGGGGGGGGGCATGGACAACATTCGGGCCTGGCCGCGTCGCGCGCATTCCGCAAAATCTGGAGCCACAGCTGTTCGGAAGCCACTGCAGCGTCACACCGCTGCCCAGTGGGGCCGCCTGCGCGCCCCCGCCCCGTCGACTCTCGACGGTCGGGCCTCCCTCCCGCTCCTCCGCCTCCGCGGCCGCCCTCCGCTCTTCCGCCTGCTCTGGTGCGCCGGCGCCCGGCGCGGCCCGCCGGTCACGCACAGACGCGCCTGCGCTCGCGGGCGCTGCCGAGCAGCAGGGGCCCATGATCGAGCAGGCCCCGCGGTTCCGAAGCCCAGCGAGAGTGAGTTCCGAAGAGGGGCCATCGGGGCCAATTTGCAGGGGGCGCAGGCAGACCGCAATGGCGTCGCTTGCCTAAGCTGCTCAGTTGCTGAAGTCTCCTGTTTGCGACCTGATGGCCCCCGCAATTGGGGACGGCTGATTTCCTGTACCTCCCGATGAACTTTCAACGCTCTCAGAATGTCGGCTACGGGTTCCTGAACCTGACGAGCGAGGAGCAGACGAGCCGTTTCTTCAACGTCTTCGATGGCTTCCACGATTGGGCGGTGGATTCCGACCACCTCTCCTCCGTCTGCTGGAGCAACACGCAGGGCTTGAGAGCCAACCTCGAGCGCTACCGCAACAGCCCCATTATGCGGGAGGAGGTGCCCGACACGTTCAAGCCTTGTCTGCTCTCTGGCGGGCACGAGCTCGCGCTGCCGGGCCCCACGAGGGAGTTCCTACGCAGGCTCCGCTGCCGCAGAGCCCACGGCATCAGGGTCGAGTTCCCGCCGCACTGACTGCGAGGCCCGCGTCCGCGCGCCCTCTCAATGAGGCGAGGACCAGGAGGCTGAGCAGTTTCCCTGCAGGTTCCCGAGGGTCGCTGCTCGGTCTCCAGGCTTGGCCCGGCACTTCGCCGCCTGTGGGCCCATGCGTTCTTCGCCGAGCGCGTTCCACTACTCGCAGAAAATGCCTACTCGCAAACGTCCGAAAAAACAATGTCTGCTTTGATGTAATTCATCGTATATCCCCCGCGGGGGATCCAGGCCATTTGAGAGTAGTCACTTTGCGAGTAGTGGAGCGCGCCTGTCTGGTTCTGGCAGCGAGCGTGCGCGCCTCCCGCTCCCTGCCCCGTGCGGCTCGGCGCACTGCTTTGCTCCTTGGTGGTGAACGGTGCAGGGGTGCTGTTGTGGTCGCTCGTGTGCGGACGCCCTTCTTGGCTCTGGTGCCCAAATTGAGAGAAGGAAGGGGCACGGGCACTGTTGACGAGCCACTTCTACGATGAAGCACTTAGAATGTAGCGCGCCAGGACGCCGAAGCCTTAGAGGATTGATCAGTGGGAGGAACTGAAAAGTCTCACCTTGCCCTTGGGTGCGTGGTCGAATTAGAATTCAGCAGATTCTTGTTCAAGTTGTTGCTGCCGTCGTCGCCCCGCGATCCGTCGCGTAATCGCGACCTGCCGTCGACCCGCCTGCATGTCAGGGCCTATTGGAGGGAGTGCTTGAACCAAAGGGGCGCCGTGCGGTGTGATAGCAGGAACACGGGCAGGGCAATGCGAGAGTGGAAAAATCACGATGAGGGGGGCGAGGAGGGTCAAGCGGAGGGCAGCCCGACGGCAAGATCGATTGGCCCAGTTGGCAGGCAGCACGGGCTGCGTGGCTGCAGCCTGATCTTGGCGGCGCAGAGCGCCGCAGTCGAGGTGCCAGCGTGACCGCGGTAGGAGGTAAGCAATTGGGATCGTGCGTGGCGCTTGCAGTGGCGTCTAGCCATGCGCGCGGCACTGTCCTCTGTGCCATTGTCGTTGTCACCACCATCATCGCACCATCGTCATCGACCGGATGCTCATTAAGTGCATCTGCTGTGAAAAACGCGGGCACGACTTGGCAATGACAGCGACGGCATCATCTGATCCGCTCGCTGTGAGCGCCCGCCCCCGCCCCCCCCCACACGGGTCAGATGCTCAGGATGCTCTGGTGACGGGGGTTCCCCGTCAGCCTCCATAGTGGAGGCTTCTTTTACCAGTGCTGACAGCTGACTGAGGCACGGCCGGCGAAGGCGATGCCCCGACGCGTCTCAGAGGTGTGTGAGTTCCCTACGCACCAAGCGAGTTGGGACACATAGTCTCGACAATATAGGCACTTGATGCGGCATGTGAAGTTGCCAGGATGGTGGGACATGAGTTTGCGAGGGCACAAATGCCCACATTCGCACTTGGGCAATCTGGTCGTGTCTGTATTTGGAGGACACAGTCCAGTATCCCCAGACTCCGCTGTTCCGACGTTTGGCCCCGGCAGCACTCACGCACAGTGTTTGTTTAAGTGGCTGGTAAGGCGCAGCGCTCGTTCTCATCACTCACCATCAAGTGCACGCATCAGTGTGCAAGGAGGTTATTAGTACATGGCTTGCGCGTGCGCGAGAGATGATTTTGCCTGATCCACGAGCGTGTCGGCGTGAGGGGCCGAACGATCATTCATTGCCCCTGGGTGCGTGGCGGAAGTGAGATTCCAAGGTGCGAATTGTTGTTGCTGTTGTTGTTGTTGTTGTTGCGTCGTCGTCGTCGTCTCAGTTGTTGTTGTTGTTGTTGTTGTTGTTGTTGTTGTTGTTGTTGTTGTTGTTGTTGTTGTTGAATTCTCTTTTTAAAGAGTGATTATTGTTGATCCTCCCTGCCCGGTAACCATTCTATTGTTCAGTTAAAGTGCTTCTACCAGGGCTCGCATCCAGTTTTTTACATCAGAAAGTTGGGTGTCACCAAACTGGGCCCCGGGCCCCCGAGTTACAACAACACCGGCTCTTGCCTGAGACTTCCTCAAAATGTATTCCCAAGTCGCGCTCTCGCGCTGGACGTCCTCGCAATTTATACAGGAATCGTGGTCTCGCGTGGGACGTCCTTGCAATTTATTCAGACGCCGCGCCCTCGGCACTCAGGAATCAGGCTCTTCCGATAGATTTCTCACGATGCATTTGGGAATCGCGCTATCGCTCGAGAGTTCCTCGCGATTCATGCAGGACGCACGCTTCAGCAACCCGCCTGCTCGACCTGGCCGCTTGGGCCTGCCTTCCCGACCCGCCCGTCAGGGTCTACCCGCCCGATCTGCCCATCTGGTTCTGCCACGTGTTTTCTGCTCCTAGCCCCCCTCCTGCTACCCTCTCTCGTGCTCCATCCTCCTCCCTCCCCCTTGTCCCTTGCTTCCATCCGTCCTCTTTCCCCTGCCTTCGGGGACCCGTTGCAGTTAAGAAAGATAACCCCTAAGGGGTACGATCGATGACGACGAGGGCGGGTATCGAGGGTTTGCAATATACGTGTTGAATGGCACGCGAGCAGATGAGAGCGAACAGCTTGAAACTGATTGAAGTATTGTTGTTGTTGCTGCTGCTGTTGCTTTTCCCACATCCATCGGATGGGGCTCATGCTATCCCCATACATCCAAAGGATGAGGTTCTTATTCCCCACGTCCTAAGATGGGGTTATTATTATTTTGGCCGCGCGGACCTCCTCCATCATCCTCTTCCTCTTCATCCCTTCTTCCCTCTCTTCCCCATCCTACTCAGAGTCTGATGATGCCGAATGATGACGATAAGAGTTGGATGACGACGATGATGATGCAGATGGTGAATGATGCTGGTGAAGATGATGATGCATACAATGCTGAATGACCATGATGATGAAAATGATGGGCATGACGATAATGATGACAATAGTGTTAATGTCTAGTATGATGCTGATGATGATGCTTCTGGTGGTGAAAATGATGATGATGAGGAAGGTGATGATGGTGATGATGATGACGATGCCGCTGATGATGATGGTGGTGATGATGATAATGACGATGCTGATAATGATGATGATGACGATGATGATGATGATGATGCTGATGATGATGATGATGATGATGATGATGATGATGATGGTGATGATGATGGTGATGGTGATGGTGATGGCGATTGCGGTGCTGATGACCAGAGGGGGCCAGATTGTAAGGATGTCTCGAGCCGTTTGCCTGTTTTGGTGACCAGACCCGTCTGCGCTCAGAGCAGATCCTGGGGATGCCTCAGGCGGCTTGCTGGTTTCAGCACTCCTAAGGGGGGGCGTCTCGATCGGCTTGCCTGTTTGGGGGCCAGATTGGTTTGCCTGTCTTGGCGGCCAGACTCGAGGATGTCTCGAGCGAGTCGCGGGCTTCGGCATTCCCAAGGGGGAGCCGCCTGGGGGTATTGCATTCCTCCGTTCGCGCCAAAATGGCGGGGATGTCTCGAGCGGTTTGCTTGTTCCCTGGATCAACACCCTCCGCGTTCGGAGCAGATTTGGAGGATGTCTCGTGCGAGGCGCTGGCTTTCGCATTCCAGGGGGGCCCAGATGGCGAGTATGTCTCGAGCGGTTTGCTTGTTTGGGGGGGCCAGATTCGTCTGCGCTCAGCGCAGATTCTGAAGATGTCTCGAGCGGTTTGCTGGTTTCAGCACTCCTAAGGGGGGGGGGGGTCTCGATTGGTTTGCTTGTTTGGGGGCCAAATTTTGAGGATGTCTCGATTGGTTTGCTGTTTTGGTGGCCAGACTCGAGGACGTCTCGAGCGAGGCCTCCGTTCGCGCCAAAATGGCGGGGATGTCTCGAGCGGCCCCAGGAGGCAACCGGAGGTCCCAGGGGGCATCAGCAGGCCACAGGAAGATTCAAGAGGCCACAGCATGCCTCAAGAGGCTCCAGGAGGCCCCAGGAAGCTTCAGGGGGCCTCAGGAGGTTCCAGGATGCTTCAGGAGGCGCCAGGAGGCCACAGGAAGCGCCAGGAGGCACCAGGAGGCCCCAGAAGGCACCAGGAGGCCCCAAGAGGCCCCAGGAGCAGGAGGCTTCAAAAGGCCACATGAGTGGTTCCAATCCCATGTGTTGTACGTATGCTCCTATAGATTTGGACCCCCCTGGAGCACGAATCCTTTTGGTGTTGTACACTTGTCTCTATAGACAGTCCTTCCCCTGCGTATCCCATCCTCAGAGTGTTTTGCGTATGTTCCCAAAGATTTGGCTCCCCCCGGGGCACGAGTCCTTGGTGTTTTACGTATGTTCCCAAGCCACGGTTCACTTCATGAGTTTGCCTATTGCAGGTCGGCTTGTGGGTTGAATCTGGTTTGCTTGGCGTTTCTTTCAAGCATCCGGGCCCGACACGCGCCCGCCGCCCTGGCAACGCGAAGGCGCCCGGAAGCGACAAACAAAAAGAATGTGTTCCTCTGTCATCGTAACCCGGCTCGCCCTGGTCCCGGGTTCCTGGTCTCCCTCCCTCTCCCCCTCTCTTTGTGTTCTGCAGTTGTGCACAGCCTTTTAGGCTTAGGGAGCGACTCGCCTTGGAGTCGCTGAGGATTCTGGATTGAGCACAGAAAGGTACGTTCGCCCTCCCCACTTACTCCTTTACAGTTCGAGCCCCCCGAGCCCTGTGACAGTGGTAAGCGGAGCCCGTGGTTGTGAGGCAGATCGTGGGAGGAGCGGACGTGCAGAGAAGTGGCAGGTGCTGGACCCTCAGCGCGAGAAGGAAGAGCTCGAGCCCTCTCGCCGCCGGCATGCCGGCGGATGGTGACGACCACGGTTTCGACGAGATAGGCAGTGATGGTGCGCGCTCTGTTGGCATTCAAGCGACGGGGTCAGACCTTGGCTGGGGTCAGAGTGCGTGGAACAGCTGGAGCTGGGGCTCAGGCTGGTGGTACTCGTGGACACCGTGGACAGCTGCAGGAAGCGACGGCGGCGGCGACCAGGATGAGCACGATGCCCAGGATTGGAAGAGCACGACCTGGGGCCGCCCAGGGCGCAGTCGTGACTTCGGGCCTC